AGCCGTGGATTTGATCGTACAAACATCGGCTTGTGTCCCATCGGCGTACTCAATCTCTCTCTCTCTACTCGTCCTCCCCTTTAACCACGCGCGTAATTTGCAAATCGACTTTAAGGTTTGACCAATCCCGTCGTTGATCACCGGTCGCTTCGCGGATCCAACCCGCCCCATTATCGCGCAACGATAAATCTCACTCCCTTCCCGATATCTCGTTAATTATTGTACATGTTATTAAAAATTGACGTTGAAAAATATTGGAAGTTGTTTGAAATATATTTACAAAAGGGGGATTATAGAGAGGTTAATTTATAATCATCGCGGTCGCGTAAACAGTGGCTGTTGTTTTTCTCCCTACGTGTGATTAATAATTTACGAGTGATACATAATGCGAAAAAGTAGGGAAAAACGACGCCTCTTGACAAAGATGGAAATCATCCGTCGTAGTTTAAACAAAAATTTTGGATGAACGAAGGGTGAAAAATCTTTTTCTCTTTCCCGAGAATCATCCCCCTCGAGATGGTATCCTCGATCTCAAAGATTGTCAAGATTATTTCTCTTTAACGTCAATCCACGATAACTCGATTTCTCTTATTCCATCATCTCTGATCAGCTCGGATGCCGGTTTCGGATGAATCTCGGGGGGGATACGTATCGAGGAGTGAAAGAGGGCGGAAGAAAAAGAGAGAGGGAGAGAGAGAGAGGGGGGGGGTTGGTTTCCGGCGGCTCATCCCTTCGCTTCTCCGCGCGTCTTTTTCCCCGTCGTTTCGCGGAGAATCGAATCTCGTTCGAAACTAATTTCGTGCCTTTGTGGATCCACGTCATTACCGCCGCGGCACACGTCGGGGAACGTGACTTGGCGGTAGGGTGGCGGGTGCAGCCGGAGCTAGGGTAGCAAGATTTCCGATACTATTGAAATCCGTCCAAGTGAAAAGTAAATTATATCAAATCTCCCCCCGTCTCCCCCTTCACGATCCTTTGATGTTTTCGTGGATGGAAAAGAGAGGCGGACCGGCTGTGTTTTCGAACGAAATGCGATCCCTTCCCGTGACGCGCCGTCAATCCAGCCTCTACCACTGCTTTTTCCCTCGAAAACTTGCGAATCTTACGTTACCTAGGGACAATTTGACGAAAATTTTACTTTGCTTCTCTCTTATCATCTCTCTCCATTGTTACGATCATAATTTGCTTCTCCGAATGCAAATATCTTTCCTTCTTCTTCATTTTTCAAGGAAACTCGAGGATCGTTGTATTAAACATCTTCTTCGAGATTGTTGAGCGGTTTTTGTTAAAACACGATGGTTTTTAATATCGGTTTTTATCGACAATTTCTCGTGAGAATATTTCGTGATAAATATTTCGTGAACAGGTGATTCCGTAAAATTGATTGACCTATATTAATCACGTTTCAACGTAGAAATAGTATCGATCGTCAAATATATCATCGAATATAAAGCGTTCGAATTCGAGTATCAGAATATCAGGTATCGAAACGTATTACTTATTAACATTAATGATAATATATGAAAGATGAACATTGAAATTACCCAGATACGAGTGCCTTATTAATGAAACCTGAAAATTATAATATCTAGAAAAAGTTTCCTGTGTAGAAAGGACACGTTCAATTTCAATAATCGTGAAATTGGTCTAGGAAATCAATTTTTTATTTATTTTCTGACGAAAAGACGAACAGTGAATTTATCCAGAGTTCGAGTGCTTTATTAATAAAACCAGGAAATTATAACACCTGGAATAAGTTTCCTGTGTTCAGAAAGGACACGTTCAATTTGAATCGTGAAATTGGTCTAGGAAATTAATTTTTTATTCATTTTCCGACGAAATTTCTAAATTCTAAACGATCCTTAAATTATCTTTATCGTAAAAGAGAAAGAATCTCGATCGCGATCGATAACACTTATCGTCCGCTGGAACGAATGTAGCTTAACGGATTTCCGTTTCCATTATTGGGAATGGACGCGAGAAAATTCATCACGCGACATCGGTCGGAAAGTCTGTTAAGCGGATTTCGATCGTGCCGTTTGATCGAACTTCGATGTTTCATTAATCGCATCGTCGTTCCATTCGTTGCAAACAAACTCGTTTTCAAAGCTTCGTTGTAAGACCAAGTACGCCACGATTCCTTCCAACGATTACATTCGATCCTTCGATCGATTATATCCTTCGATCGGGACAGTCACCGTTGAAATTAATACACCAAAGGTAAGGTGATCGAAGGATTTTCCAATTTCGCGTCCGAAAAAATTTTGACAAGCATAATTTACCGCGTAATTTAATAAAAAGTGATTGGAATTCGTTCGATCGATCGATAATCGTGTCGAGAAAATTCGAGATTTTCGAAACGAAACGAAACTTGGATTCTGTTTATAAATTCGATTTCGTAACAGATCCGTTGATATTTCGTTTGCATCGCTCATTTTGCATTTTCCGTTTTTATCCACCTCTGCTTCTTTTTCTTAAGTTTTCATTCGTATCGGCGTAAACGAAGATCGAGTGGTGGCCAACGATTCGAAACGCAAAGGGAAATACAAAGAAAGGAGCGAGTTGCGTATTTCATCGCGTATCGAAGATAAAAGAAAAATGGTAACAAATCGTCGTTGGCCTAGTGTGACGCGAATAATTAACCAGTTAGTCGAGATATTACTCCGAATACTAGTCTTGTACTACACGCAAACCGCATTTACGACGTCGTATATTAGGAGTACATGTCCTAACAAGGAAATAACACACATTTAGCCGGCTAAAATTTTCGATACCACGATGATGCATACGTTCGAAGAATTTTCTATATGGAAACGCGCAAATCTTTGGAACGAGTTTGTTCCATTAGCGATTTCATATTTTAATATCACGCTTCCTTTTATCGTATTTCCATTTTAAATGTAAAAAGATAAACATCAAAATTTATCGCAAAACGTCTAAATCGTAGCTCTAGACATCGCTCGCCAAGAGACAAAAGTCCGGATTAAATTTCAACTGTCATATTTTGAAAGTCATACGTCAAAGTTGAAAAGTCAAATATCCTGAGTTGCCGGCCGAGCATTCAACGGTTGAAAGTTATATATTCCGCCCGAAATGTGAATCGATATTCGCGCATCTAGCTTCCAATTTTCGCGAAACACGAAACACTTGCGGGTTTAGCGACCGGATTAAAATAATCCGAAACCCCTCCAACAAACCGAACTCCATTCGTTCCATTTCGAGTAAAAAATGCTTCGAATATTAACGAAACGAACCGTCCTCGTAATATTTGCGCGGAAGAACGATAAGAAAGATACGAAGCGAGCTAATTACCACAGTTCGAATTAAGTAGAATTAGAAGCGTGGACAAAAAGAAAAAAGAGGAAAACGTCGATTTGAAAAAACCTAGCTGTCGATTTACGATCGAGAGGCAAAGCTTAGATTTTCGGTGATATACCGGGATACAGATAGATCCTGGCTGGCGGTAAAAACCTGGCTTGATAAACCGCGCAGCGCTGTTCACCAAAAAACCTGCAACTACGTTTTTCAGCCCCTCCCTTCTTTCCAACGAATCCCTAAACCATCGAAAAAGAAATTTATCGGCGATTTGTTCGCCAACTAAATCGCGCGCTCAATCTTTCCCGTCCCTCTTCTCGAAAATTGATCGAGGATCTCGATGATTTAGATTTTCTTCCACGCGTGGAATCGTAGCGAGAAGATGACGCAGGTTTGGAAAATATCCGAAAAATGCGTGGAAAATTGTTTCTTTGATTCGGAAAGAAATCGTGAACGAAGGAACGAGAGTAGGTTTTCGCAATAAAACGGTCGGCGAGATGCACGGTCCGGAATAATTTCGCCTAAGTAGATTATACTCCACGTCGCGTTTTCCTTAGGCGCCGTTAAGCCAGAACACGTACAACGACCCGCTCCTGTAAATCACGCGAGCCGTTCAATTATTCTTGCCTCGCCGGGTCGGGGGTGTCCTCCCTTTCCCATATTTTAGCAAAAACCAACCCGTGAGAATCATCTCGTGCACGTTAATCGGATGAAAATAGACGAGAGAGGCCAGTGGATCGATCAATGGATCGATCATCCGATCATGCTCCTTCGTTATTTCGTCTTACGTCCCCTCAAAAGGGATGTATTTTCGCTTCGCGGAGTCGTCGTTACGGTAGTATAGTTGAAACGCGAAGGAAAAGTATAAAGAATGAGTTTAGATACGCGTGACAGAGTGACGTATGTATATAAAAAAAGAAGGCATCGAGGTTTCGAGCATGAGGAGAGTATGATATATGTAGGTATACGTAGCGTTATACGACATGACTGATGATTCACGGTGCGGGGAAGAGAAAAAAAGGAGGCGAGATCGAGAAGAAAGTTAAAATTTAACTAATTACGCGAGGAAGAAAAAATACGCGAGAAATCGATCGAATTCCACGATTAATACGATTACGCGGCATAGTTAATTCCAAATATTTAAAATCGAACGAAATAAAATTCGTCTCGATTTTATAAATACGTTCAGAAAGAAACGAAACAAGGAACGATCCGATTCACGAAACGGATAATACCGGATAAAGCGGCGATCGCGAGAGCGATTAAACATTGGCTAATTAAACATAAGAGAGAACGAGAGAAGGCGAGGGAGGGAGAAATGGAGTTAAAATGGTACGGTTACGTTTAGGAAGGAAAAAGTATTATCGTCGATCTATTAAGGTAGGGTGGACGCACACCGCGACAATACGATACAACGGGGTGTTGAATATGGAGTAGCGTTCCCTTTATGAAATTCGAATCCCCGACGGACACCGGGCGGAACTGCCGAATACGTAATACCTCGGGGCGACCGGTGTAATTAGTTGTTACTTCCCTCCCTCCCTCCTGTAAACTATCTCCGCTCGTTTCATCGTCGTCGATAACTTTAATCATGCTGCGACCTACGAATCCTTCTCTATCCTCCTCTCTTTCCATCCTATTCCGTATTATCGCGGCGCTAAAGCGATAGCATCGAAAGTGGCGGCAAAGTTATCGTTGGTGAAACGGCACGCGTAACACCGACTTAGATGCATAGGTCTCCGTGTATCGCGTTTCCTCTTCCCGTTCGAGGGTGCATCTTGCACGAATGCAAATACGGCCTATCGCGCGCCACACCCGTCGCGTCGCTTCCAACCTCTTCGATCGAAGGATCGGTAACGAAGGATGGAAAATGATCGAGGAAAATGATCGAGACGCCACGTCCGATATCGAGATGTTTGGAAATTAAGTTTTTTCGAACGTAGAGATAAAGGTGGAGTCGAAGGTGGGTCGAATCTCGATGGACGATACGATACGAGGAGATCGATCGATCCAACTCCTCTCTCGACTAAACGATCGCGACAGCGAAAATTGACGGTGTTAAACGCGTATACACGTTGAGAGTTGGAAGAGAACTCGCCCGTTATGATATAGAGGTCGGCTTGGGTTTTGCGTAGCATCATGCTCACTTGGAATAATAGGATTCGGTTTCGGTAAGCGGAAATTTCGGATAGTTGGCGGTCGTACGAAATTTGCATACACGGTCAGGAATCCGCAGGATTTATGTTAATAATATAATTCGTTCGGATCGAGTTATGC